GGACTCAGCCTTTCTATTTTGTCTCTCAGGAATTCTTGTTTGATTTTTGGGAGCAGTCTTGTGAACATTTCTGAGATGCTGTTTAGCTCTGGCTGGTCTAACCTGGGTGTCAGTTGAGTTCAGATGTAAAAAATAGAATTATCTCGGTAAGTGGGTTAACTGTGCCTGCTTTGTGCTCATCAATCACGGGATAATGGCACTCATGAGCACATCTTCAGTGATAAGCCAAGACAACCACAAGGCAGCAACCCAAAAGAGGAGGTGATGGGGGTTTTAACAAAGCCCTTCCTCACACTTTTCCCATTTTCCCTCTTTTTTGGTGACTGTGGTGTGTTAAGGTGCCAGCCCATGATGGTGGCACAGGATTATAGAGTCACTTAAGCAAAAAAAAATTCTTCTCCAGAGCTTTGCCAGAGTCTGATCTTCTGCCTCCATTCCTGGGTTATTTCCAGGATGCTTCCACCCCTTCCCTTTGCTTTCTTTCTGTTATTTTCCATGATTTACAGGACCTTTCTCTAGGGCTTGCTTTGAGTTTTTTGTTTTGTTTTATTCTTTTTTTCCCTTCCTCTCTGTTTTGCTGTAAATCTTAGATTGTAGCAGTGATCATCAGATATCACCCAACAACTGACTCTCTAATATTTGCTTTGCTTTAACACAAGTGTATAAAAACCTTGCACTGTTCCATTTCTCCATCAGCCTGCATGTCCTGGTGCTTCCAAATGGATCTGAGCAGCCTCACTGCTGGAAATGAAAATGTATCTGTCTTCAAATTCCATAAATAAAATTCATTTAGGGGCCTGTAGCTGTTATCAGTTTGTCCTGAGGGAATTAATGTAAAAAAACCCACCAATTTTCCACTCTGAAAATATGAGATATGCATGTAAATTCTCAACTGCTGAACTCTCACTCTCTTTTGTAAAGAATAAATTTTGTGTTGGAATTCTTTATTTTTCTGGAATAATACAAAAGGGAAAAGATGAATGAGGTGATCTCCCTTGGCTGAATCGCCAGCAAGGGCAAATTTGCAGAGCTCAGAAAGAAAAAGTCAGCCTGAATTTAATCTGAAGAACCTGATCTTTGTTTACAGCAAACTGCTGGCTTTGTCTTCAGTGAGGCTGGAAATGTAAGTGGTTCATCATTATTATGACATCCAGATATGACAGTAATGAAACTATATCAAAACCTATCCCTAAACCCACAAAAAATTAAATAAAACAACAATTGAAGTGTTCAGTTCAATCCTTCTACCACTTCTGTTGTTTTGACTGTTGTTTTTTACAGGGAGTTCTCCAGGGAGAGAAGGAAAGGGGAAGATAAATTGTGGGAATGCCAAGAGGGAAGGGCATTAACCTAAAGAAATCAGTGTGAAAAACTAAAACTTCTAAGGAGGCCTCTTGAGTCTGGCAGGAAAAAAAAAACCAAAACCAAACAGAAATAATGAAGGCAAATCCAGACTGTAAAATGGTGCAACTTTTCCCCACACTGTGAACAACTGTAGATGTAACAAAGCCACGTGTGGTGAGTTTTGTGTCAGAAATGACCAATTAGTGAGATAGAACATAACCTGAATGAGTCAAAACCAACAGCTATTGAAGAAATCCAAGTGGGTGGCTCCACAGAACCCTCTGAGCCTGATCATCTCCACATCCAAGTGCTTAAAGCCCCAAATGACAAACACACTTGAGCAGACGCCTGGTTTTAATCCATTTAAGTCAACAGGATGATTCAGTTACGTATAATTGCAATTAAAAAGCTACATAAACACATTATGAGAGAGAGGGAGGAAGTGGGTTTGGTCTCCTCATGGTACCTTCAGCAAAACCTCGTGTCTGTGCATGCCCATCACACCCCTCTGCTCTTTGGACCCCTCTAGAAAATTCAAGGTCCCTGCAGCGTTTTGTTTCTTACTGGAAAATCCCACAAAAATCCACTTTTGGAAGAAGCCAGTCTAAGGATTCTCCATGAGCCAAGTGAGCCACACTGTGCCTAGAAACAAATCCAACAGATTTGGACACCTGGGAAGAGGAAAAGGAGTGAGGGACATTTACAAAGCCACTGGTGCTGAGTTTCCTTGGTGTGGGACCTTGTGCAGGTTCTGGGTTTAAAGACAATTTAAACCTGCCCCATTTAGTCATAAAAACAAGCCCTGCCTGTCAACTCAGGGTTTCTGCCCAATGAAAGCAGGTTGATTTTTTCACCCAAGCAGCAAGACTTTTCTTTCCCCCAGGAGTGAGTTCATCCATAAAGTAGGACCAAGGAACTCAAGGGGGCTACAGATGCCACACATCACTCTGCAAACATCCCCCAGTGCTGCCTCACACCATGGCTCAGTGATGCTCATCACATATATTTTGCCTGCACTGGACCTGAAATGCTTACAGCCACATTCTCAAGCACTGTGGCCCATAGAAATGCTCAATAAATTAATTTTTTGGGATGCTTGTTCATGTTAAACTCAGTGGCAATACAAAACGCTTTGAGTTTAAAATGGTGGAGAGTTAACACCACACCTGAAGTATCCCAAACTAGGCAAAATAAAGTGAAAATGCAGTAAAGCCTATTAAAAGGGTTTTTTTATTACATATAAATCTTCCTGTGTTGGAGTTCCTACTTGATTGAGGCATTGACACATTTGTTGGTGGAGAGGTTAATGTATTTTTGTGTGGCTGGAGCACACAACATAATTTAAAGTCTTCTTACTGCAGCAGGTAATATCAAACTGAGGACTTTGGTGCCTTCATCAGAAATGCTGGGAGAGGTTTCTATTTATTTGGATTTTATAGGCTTAAATCAGTTCTGGAAAGGTGGGGGGTGTCTTTACCCTTTCATTCCCTGAAGGAACTGAGTGTGGCACTTTCTCTTGTAATGAAACATTTTTATTGCTTTGGGTTTGCCCTGTTCTAAACCAGAGGAGCAGTGAGAGCATTCAGCAAATTGTTTGTTCAAATCTCTCCCCAGACTGAATGAGCTCAAGGCCACATCCAGCCATTACACACAAAACCTTCAGTGAATTGTGTATAAAATCCTGAGTATATGAATTAGCACCACGTCTCCCAAGCCAAGCTTTATCCTGCAAGTTCAAAGCACAAACTTAACTCAAGCCAGCCTAACCCAACCCAGCCAACCCCACAGGAACACAGTGGATTTTATAACAATTTTTCCTAACAGATGAATGTTAGGAGAGGCATTTTGTGGCAGTGTTTTTACACTGTGACCTAAAACGTTGCCCAAAATGCTGCTTCAAGACTGGTGAAGATTTTGCAAGGGCTATGCTCAGCCTAATGTGGTGGAGACAGATTTGTCCCATATAATTTTATAACTGTTATGTATCATCCAGTCATTCACCCTGAGCTGGCAATTAACTAAAAAATCTTCTGATGGGGAGAAACACAGAAATGTTGTGGCCACGGGGCTACCTGAAAGTGCAGGCATTCTGGATTCTGCAGGAAAATTCTGTATTTACACCCAGAAATGTTTCTGGATGGATGAGAGGCAAATATTTCTCAGCTCTCTGCAACTGTGCCTCAGTTCTGATCCAGCAAAATCCAGTGCAAACTCCCACAGGGATGAGAGGTTGGTTCCCACTCCATAGACTGTCCTGTCCTGGATCCTCTGCCAATTGGCATTGACAATTAATCTGTGGCAATTGATTCCAGTTTCCATGTCTTTCTATCCATTCATGGACCTTCACAAGAAAATCCCCTTCCTGAATCACAGGGAGGAAGCAGCACTCAGGGACATTCCAAAGGGAGCAAATCATGCTGCACACAGTTCTTGGGAAAAGCTGAGAGGAGGCTGCTCTGGGTTTCAACTGAGAGATGCACAAGCAGAAAGGTCACTACAACAGCAGGGTAAGGATACAGAAAAGCCAGCAAGCAAGGAAGAAATTGAGTGGATGGAAAAGAGAATCTTTTTTTTCTGGTGCTGTATGACATAAAAAACAGGTCCAGAGGGATCTGCTGGAGTGCTGTGCCCAGTCCCTGCTATTATCAGCAAGCAGCTCATCCAGTGCTCTGAATTTACTATGGAGGGTTCCTGTTTCTCTTTTTTTTTTTTTTCTCCCTGGATAACTTCTGATCACATCTCTCCGTATTGGTGATTTCAATTTCCTGCCTAAATTTATTCATGACTGGTGTCCTCTTACGTCAGTGTGGCCTTTAAATAAACAACCCTTCTCCCTCCTTAATGTTTGCTCCAGCTGATAACACTGAGTTTGAAAGGCAAAAAAATAACCCAGCTCCTTTATTCCCCTTATTTATCATCCCAGTAGGGAAATCTCACAGTTGCAGACAGCGAGCGTGGGATACTGATTCAGATAAAAAATGGATGATGATGTCTGCACATAGATTTCCTGCCTAAAGTCCTGCAGGGATCTGATCACTGGAGCCCAGAGAATCACCCACATGCAGGTGCCTCCTCCCAAAGGACTGAACAGCATTCCAGGCTCCAGGGAACAGATTAATTAGAGCCCATTATCTATGGATGCACTTCACATACATAGCTCATGTGTAGGTACTTACCCCAGAGATAATTGAGATTAGTTATGTGAATTTGGATCTGACTCCCATCCTCACTGAGGGAAAAGCTTCTACTGAATCCCTAAACACAAATCTCCTTTTACCAGGATATCCAAGAAATCAGCATGTGGCTGGGAGATGGACACAGGACTCACAGGAGCCCCAACATCCTGTACAGCCTCACTTGTGGGTTTGATAAAATCCTTAAGGTTCAAAAAGACCTCTAAAATTGTCAAGTACAACTTCAGAAAGGACTAGATATAAAATACAAATATAGACATTTTGGACTCTGATAATCAATTTATTCCTTCTCCATATAAATCAAATTGCAACAATCATGGATTATTTCTTCCTTTCAAAAGAGGAAAGGATTTGAAATCTTCCCGAGATAGTGCCTCATGTTCATTTGCAAGGTAATTTTTGGTGGATTGCTGAAGAGGGCAACAAAATGAGGTGGAAATTTCAAAGTGCAAGGCTACTTACTGAACTCACAAAGCAGTGCTCAGACTCCCCACTTTCAAACAGGATCACATCCTTTATGAAGACTGCAATGGCTCTCATGATGAAGGACATGAAGAGGTGCATGTGAATGTAATTTCGAGTACAGTGTAGTTTTCTGTTGGGAAGAAACGAAACATTTCTGAATAGCAAATCTTCTCAAAAGCATTATTTTTATATTTACACGTTTCTTCTACCATGACAGAGAGTCCCAATTAAACATTAGAAACCCTGAGACAGGCTCTGGTCTGATGAACATCACCACAAATCCACTTAAGCCTCTTTAATTCCACAGAACATGGCAATCCACGTATCTGCAGCAGGACTGCTGCTTTTTCAATCCTCAGAAAAACAGGGAAAAACACAGAATGACAGAAAACAGGTCCATACCACTGCTCTCCACTGGAAAAGAAATGTTTTTGATTGAGCAGACTGTGTTCATGATAAACATTCTGTTTTCTACAGAATGTTTCTGCTGCAATAATTCTTTTCAAAGTGAAACGTCTCTTCAATCAGGCAAATAAATTCTTAGCATCTGTTGCCAGAATTAACACATATTACAGGCTTTCTGGAGCAATATGAACTATATTTTCACTTTTAAATTACTGGTTGTTAATGATACTGAGAATTACACCAGAGTTTTTCTATCTCTTGCCCACTAATATTTTGAAGATGAATTCTGATCAAGCAAGAGCTTTTTTTTCAAGAGAGATTTTACAACAACTAAGGTGAAAGGCCTAATAGTCTGGAAATGGGTGCTTTGTGCAGACACCAGAACCACAGCAGACCTCACTCAGTAAAACAATCAAATTACCACCTCTTAACGAGCCACTGTGCACTGGCAGAGGTTGTGCTCCTAATCTCTGATGATGGCAAAATGATGGGGCTGAGCTGAACCCTCTGTGCCTGCTAAGTCAAGTTCAGCTGTTTCCCAGCAAGGAAAAAACAGGATCCTCAAGGGTTTCCCCAGCCTGGCTGGCACCTTGCACCTTGTGGAGGTGATTTGTTTGTGTCTCATTGACTCCTCCATTGTAAGAGGAGTGGGGAGAGAACGTGGGAGGAGAAGTGAAAAGTTCCTGAAGGGTGAGAGAGTGTGAGAGTTACCCTAGAAAATGTGCTCTGTCTTACATGAGGAGATGGAACCTCATCCAAAGGGCTCTTCCATCTCACACAGGTCTGCTTTTTGCTGATGTCCCTTTACACAAATGAATTTATAATAGGAGATTACATATATGCAGACTTCTTCACTGGAGGCACCCAAATTTAGATGTCTGAATCTATTACTAACAATAGACAGCAAGAATTAATCGATTTTCTGCAATCTGGGATTCTAATGCCACTTGATGAACTGCAGACTGTCTGCCCATCCATCCATGAGGCCCTGGGTCTCCTGAAGGCCACACTTGTGCATATCTCAGGGACACCAGAAAGTTTAAATGGCCCTGGGTGTCTCTGTCTTGCCATAGAGGGGCAGCAGGAAGTGTTTTTGGAAAAGACTTTGGGAGGAAACAGGGTGCCCAGAGAAACTGTGAATGTTCCATGCCTGGAAAGTGTCCAAGGCCCAGCTGGATGGAACTTGGAGCAACCTGGGATGAAATGATCATTAAAGTCCCTTCCAACCCAAACCATTCTGGGATTTTGTGATCCTGGATATTTTTGGATGCCATTTTGAATACCTACTTTAGGTAGAAATTCCATGGTATCCATATACAGCATTCTGACTAGGACTCTGTGGACTGTAACTCTCTAACAGAGATCCATTACAGAACAATCTGCCTTTGGTGAGATGAATCCACCTAAAGAATTGGATTTGGGTTACAACTCTCACACAAAGGTCACAAATCACACACCAAAACACAGTGACACTGAAAGAAGGAGGAACCTTCCTCCCCAGTGGGGAAAATGGAGTTGTAGAGAGTTCTCAGGGCCTGCCAGAAGGCTCACACTGTGCATCTGTGGGCAAACTTGGAGATCAGAAATGCTGACTTAGAAATGCCATGGAATAAGGCAGGTATTGATGAGAGAGAAATGGAGCTAGGAAAAAGTTTCAAAGGATGGCCTTGCAAATATGACCAGATACTTTGGAGAAATAGAACTATGAAAGGTGCATTGTAATAGAACCCATCAGGGTGATTTTAGATTATTGGCTTTAAGGCATTTACAGCATGATGTGACAAAAGCTGATAGGCCAAGGAGCATTTATAGTGTACTGTAATTAGGAAATAGTTGGTTTTTGATTGTGATGGCGTGAATTATAACATCTGTATTGTCTCACCCTTCATATGAGACTGAAAATGGAATAAAAGATTTTTAAAACACCTCTCAGTTGCCCCATCTCTGAGTCAGAAAAGGGCAAAACCCAACACCCTACTTCAGACTGACAGAAATCTTGGGCATCTTCCTGTAACACTCCCAGCCTGTACAGCCTGTAAATCAGCAGCCTTTGAGTCATCCCCTTCCCTGTGCCCTTTTCTGCTCGTGTCTTACCTGAAGAGACACAGGATGATCATGGCAGCCGTGAGGGCGATGAGGGATAAGGTGTGCCCGATGGTGTAGCCCGTCTTGACCGTTCCGTAGAACGCCGTTTGCTGGTGTGAAAAAAAGAAAACAGGGCTTTCAAAGAGGTCCAAAATGCACTGCTAAACACAGCATCACTGGCTGCTGGGACAAGGAAATCATCCTTCTCCATTCTTTTGAAATACTTCTGACTCCTTCACGCTCTAAAATCCCATCCCACAGCACGCGCGGCTCAAACACCGCCGGTGTGAGCGTGGAGAACACAGCTGGTTACAGCAGGGCTTGGAGCACTCCAAACCCAGGGTAAAGCCACACAAGGGAAAGGTTCCTGCTGGAAGGAGCCTGATTTGACACCTGCAGACACAGCTACAGCCAAAAACCTCGTGGAACAGGAGTGACCAATGTTCGGCTACAGAGTGCGCGGCTCTGGGCCCGACGCGGTGAGTGCGGTGAGACAATTTTACTGAGGAAGTCTGAGGGCAGAACTGGGAAATCGGTTTGCTTGTGTGGAATTTACACTGTGTTTAGGGAAGTGAAAACTTAAAACGTTCTCTCTGTTAACTCGGAAATATGTGTTAAGCTGGAAATTGGTTCATGGTTTGTTCTCTTTGAGAGCACACAGAGAGAATCTCTGAGCATGGGGCACTGCAGGGTTTGGATGCAACAGGGGATCCCAGTCTAAATAAAATGGGTAAATAAGCTCTCCAAAGCTCTCTGGCAACACTCTAAATCAATAGATTTTGATTTTCAGCTTTAAAAAAAAAAAGAGAAGAAAGAATCAAGAGGTAAAATTATTTAGAACTTTAGCAATAAAGAAAATAATCTATGTTTTTAGGAGAATCTAACTCAGTTTATGGAAAATTTTATTTTTTTCCAGCTCTTGATTGACCCTCCTCTGCCCTCCTTGTCACCATCTTCTATAAAGAACCCAAACAACCAAAACCACAAAGAGCACGATAGACAGAAAATCTAAACCCAACCTTGTTTGGAGAAATGCTCCTCCATAACACTGAGAGTTGACATTTTGATGTGCTATTTTCACAGGCTTTGACAAGTATTTGGTACTTTACAGAACCAGTGAGGCTGGGATGAGTTGCAATCCTTTAGCATTTGCACAAGGCAGCTTGGAGGGGTGTTAAAATGAGAATTTTCAGAGATAACACTGGTCATATCTTCAACCACAGATCTCAGAGGTGGTTAAAGCGCTGTGTCCTCACAGCCACATCACTAAGAGCTTTGGGTCACTCTGAAGAGATAATTCAAGGCTTTCAGGACAGTTTATCTGCCTGGTCCGGCCCAGGTAAAGCTCTGCAGAATCCCCCCTTTTCCCTGCTGCCCAGGCTGTGGGATCAGCCCAGGATACAATTGGATTTCTGGTCAGCACATGTCCAGCCTCTCATCCACCAGCACCCTGAAGATAAAGTCTTCTTTCCAACTTTCCTGGAGTTTGGGATCCCAAAGGCAGCTCTGACTTTTCTAATTAAAACTATCAACCTCCCCCATGTTGATTTCATCTTTCTCTGTTATCTCTATTTTTGGTGGCACCAGAGCAGAACTGTTCCAGGAGAAGGAAGGAGCTCGTGGTAGGGGACTGTGGAAGGAAGAGGTTGTCCCATCCTTCATTTAGGAGAGCAAAGTCTTCTGCTCTTAGAGTTACTCCCAGGAGCAAGTTATGCACAGAAAGTTCCTGGTGTTACTCAACAAGCAATTCCCTGTTTTTCCCCCACCATATTTTATGGTGACTAATCCTTCCTATGCAGAGAGGGATGGTTCTGCATTCAGCTTTAATGCAGGATATGGGGTCATCTCTGCTCTGCAAACAGCACACACTGACTTCTCACTCTCCACTGCACTTGATAATGACAGCTGCTTCCTATTTTAGAGATCTCAAAGCAGAGAATTTGACCCAAGATCATAAATGGAACTGAAATTTCACCCAAGGTCCAGATTATAAAATATTCTTATTAGAAAAGGAAGGGATGTTGATAAGTGAAGGCAATGCATGCCAGGATGCCTGACTGAATTACAGAATTAAATCAGGCAACTTCATCATTGTCTCTTTGACTTCTAAAAGCTTCTGCTTAATTTCACAGGAGTGTGATAATAACAATTATTTGAGGTAGGTTGCTAAATTGAGATTAACTGAGATTTATTTTCCTTGGTTTCTACTCAGTAACATCAACATTTGTCCCTTGGTTGGCAATGGGAAACATTTACAAATTTGAGAGAAAAAGAAGAGAAATACTGATATAAAGCTTTTCAGGAGCCAAGTGTTTTGAGGTTCATGTCATCCAGCCCAAAATCATCATCTGCTACTTTAGGGACTGCCAAAATTCACAGCTAAAACCTTACACACTGCCCTTATTTATTTTTCATATTTTTTTCTTGTTGTTTCTGACCTGAGACCAAAAGTTCATGAAGTGTTTTACTCCTGGAAGCTTATCAGCCTTTCCTGGACCTCATGTCTTGTACAGCTTGCTGGATTTTTTTTTTTTACTCCCTTTACTTCTTGCTCCCCAAACTCACTGCCAATTCGACAACAACAACAACAAAAAAATCTATTCTTCTTCACAAGCTGCTACTGCATGTTCACCCCCCTCAGCCAACTTTCACACAAACTGGACTTTAACAGCAGGGAAAAAAAAACTGTGGAAGTCAAGGGAAAATAATTAAGAAAGAATTAAAAGAACACAATAGAGGTTCTCCTGGTAACACGGCGCTCTGGCAATGCTGCACTTTGGCAATGCTGCAATCCATTGGGTGGCCAGAGAATGTCCCAGGAATTCCCAAACCCCCTGAGCAGCAGGAGCACAAACCAGAGCTCTGGATGGGGGTCCTTCCACAGCAGAGCTGGTTTTTGCAGCCACACAGCTCAGTCTGAGGGATGGACGCGTGAGGATGTGAAGTGCTGGCTGACCCTAAAGGCAGACTAAGGCTCTCTTCAGCCCAGCCCTGAAGTTCTTTGTGCACCTCTCCCTTTGCTGTTTGCTGTTTTATTTCACATTCAGAGCTGGCCCAGTTCTGCTCAGATCCCCTGTTAACTCTTTGAGTGCCTTGGCAGTGTGTGACCATGCACAGAGACCTCTCACCATATGGAGTCACAGAACCCCAGAATGGTTTGGGTTGGAAGGGACCTTAAAAATCATCTTATTCCACCCCCTCTCCTGGGCAGGGACACCTCCCACTATCCCAGGTTGCTCCAAGCCCTCTCCAACCTGGCCTTGGACACTTCCAGGGATCCAGGGGCAGCCACAGCTTTCAGTGCTGGGACCTCAGCACCCTCACAATGAGGAATTTCTTCCCAATATCTCATCAAAACCTCCCCTCCTTTACCTCAGCACCATTCCCCCTTGTCCCATCACTCCATGCTCTTGTGAAAAATCCTTCTCCAGCCCCCTTTAAACACTGGAAACACATAATAATTAATTATTGAGATTCCTATGTCCAACATTCACTAACACAGAGGTATGTCTTAAACAACATCAAAAAAGCATGGGCACAGGTTTAATATAAACACATTATCCTAGTATAGAAAAATATAAATACTGCAACATATGATTGCAGTGAAATATAACTTTTCTTGCATAAACTTTTTCTTGTTGACTATGGGACTGCTACAGGTGATTAGTTTAGATTAGATACTGAACTTTGAGTTAGGTGAGGTGAATCTTGCTTCTAACATTTGTCACCCTCTTTAGACTTTACCCTTCATGTCTCAGCATGCAGCAAACAAGTAACAAACTCCTTCCTGTGGAATGACAATACTCTGTAAAACTAATTATACCTAGGTCAGCAATTGCTAATTTATACATAAACAAATCCCAGAGAACTTTTGGATTTTCTATGAAAATTTAGGAAAATTTCATGAAAATGTATGTTCCCTACAGTGATCTAGGTATTTAACCAGTTGAGATCTGCAGAGCAGCAAAACATAATTTTTACCCCTTAAGAGCTTTTGATGCTTGTGTTGCCACAGAAAGGCTAGAATCACCATTTCTACTTAAGCATAAATATAAATGTGGAGGGATTGTTTCAAAGTGCACTGTGGGAAGTAAAACACCTGAAGTTATGAGTGGCCATCACATAGACAAAGGTCTGATCTTCTCAGATCCTGGAAATTTTGGATGTCCCATTCCTGGAAGTGTTCAAGGTCAGGTTTGGAACAACCTGGTCTAGTGGAAGATGTTCCTGCCCATGGCAGGGACTGGAATGAGATGATCCTGAAGTTCCCCTCCATCCCAAGCCATTCCATAATTCTATGAGTCTATGACATCAAAGGGAAGAGCATTTCCTTGACCAAACATGTGAGCTCTGCTTCCAAGGATCCTCAAGAGGATCCTTCCCTCTTGAGGAATCAGAGGGGGAATGGGAAAAAGTGGGCATGGGAGGGTGATACAATTCTGATATTGATCCCTATTAAATCTTGACCATCCATGTTTACAAACCTCTTCCCCTGGAGTGCTGTTGGAATCATATCCACAAGCCACAGCATAGGGTGCAGGGTACACGTCTGACCAGCCCTGGCTTGTACAATTCCTGGTCACATTCCCTGGAAGAAAAGAAAAAAACCCATGATTAAAAAAAAAAACCCTTCAGCTCACTGTTAAAACAACTTCTGCCTTTTGTGGTATAAATGCCAAAGCACAATTATTGTAACACTTAGAGTAAACTCTGATATTTTTTCCCTGTTATTAATTTTTCATGTTACACAGAACTCATAAATGGGAGGCATCCATTTTGTTTTAAAGTCCAGAGCTCAGTAAAAAAGTACATTTTAATACAGAGGTGTACACAAAACATCTCTTCTAGTGGTACCACACTGCCACTTGTTACCTAACCTTTGGTTGCTGGCACTGCACCAGTATTGTTTGAATGTTTTATTGTCACATTGACTTTGTTCCTGGAAAATTTTTATCTGAACAGAGCAGTGAAGTATTTAATGCCTTTCACTCTGCCTGTGAGAAGCCAGGAGAGGGATAGATAAAGGGCTCATTTCACACGATGCAGATAAGGCTGGGGGTCTGGGAACTAAATCCAATCCTCCACACCCAGACCTTGCCTACAACTGCGCCCTGATCAAATGTGATTCCTGGGAAATGTACTGCACTCTTGTTTGTGATCAAAACACTTCAAAATTTGGCTGTGAAGGGAGAAAATCCACATGCTGACAACCTGTATTGCCTGTTTTAACTTGTATACTCCAGGGCAGGAAGATTTCCTGGACTGTCAAGCTCACTGAGTGCCTGGGGCCTCTGACCAGCTAAAAAGAGCTTTAATTAACACAGAAACATCTCACTCCTTCAGCCAAGCTGTCAAAACTGAAGTTCACGTGGCTCTCTGGCACTCAGAACTGCCTGATCCATCCAGGATTGTAAGTGCAAAGCACTTCTCACTTTGTAAAACATCTCTGCTCCCTGTCCCAGCTGGACCTCAAACCCACATCAGTCTAATGGAGCAAAAGGAGGAGAGAGCAGTGCCGGGGATCAGCCTTGTCCCAGGAGGTTTTTAGGCTAACAGGCCAAGATATGGGTTTGTCAAAAAACAACAAAGCAGGAACACACCCAGCAGCACATTGTAAATTGGCCACCCTGCCCACCTCACACAGATCCCATTATTGGGCCATTCCACTGGTGCCACTCACCACACCAAACTGGAAAACTGGTCAATACACCAGAATGAACAAACAGAAATCAAACTTGGCTTCTTAAAGGTGAAAAACGACACCAGTGAAGCTCAAAGAGCTTCGCAAACATTTTCAACAATGGAGTTCTTTGCACACAAGAAAACTCCTGTAAATGGGAGTCAATCAGTTATGCAGCTGTGAGTCACAAAAATATTTGAGTATCACCTCCAGCAATTTCTGACACTTGAATCATCTGAACATCTTCCCAGCCATGGGGCTGCTCTGCACTGAAATCAGCAGCAGACAACCCTTGTCTAAAGTCACTTCTCGAATCCCTGTGACAGGTGGATTTGGACACTAAAACTCGCCCCTTTAATCTGTCTTTGCAGTAGATCTGAGTCTGGGAGGGCTCTGGAAGGTGCCTTTGTTAATTTTCACAGCTGCTCCAGGAGGAGCAAGTTCAGCACAGCCCCGTGGGCTGCTGTTCCCAGGCTTTCCCTGCACTGTTTACAGCTCTTCTCACCAGGCTTCACCTCGGGATCATAAAGGATCTTGTGCAAACAAATCAAGGACATGACTGTTCAGTACTTTCAGGGTTTTTTTTTTTTTTTGAGGTGTTTTGCAATTTCTGTTATTTCTTCTTCGTGACAATGGATCCCATTATCTGAACTTCACTGCTTCCCATTTCCTGCTCAAAACTCCTCCTCTCTGTTTGGGGATGGTTCAAGATTTCACTGTGGTTTTAAATCTTTGTTTCTTATTCTCAGTGAACTAAGGTGTGCTTCTTTCAGCTTAATTTTCTCCTATTTCTTCTTTTCAGTTGCACTTCCTCAAAATTTTATGATTATTTAAAAATTCTCACCTCTCTCAATGCTTTCAAAAACTGTCTCAGTGCTTTAGATGAGGAAACCAAGGCAGAGAGCAGAACAACGACAAAGCATCAATGGAATTAGAAAAACAATAAGAAAACTTACTCTGACTTTAGGGAAACTCACTTCCCAGAGAAGTTTTTCTACCACCCTTTGCTGCTCATGTCACTTTTAGATGTGGAAATTCACATACATGATGTGATAAAAGACACCTTTCTAAAACCTCTCATGTTCACCTGACATCTGAGAGGTACAAAAAGTACAAGGTTACAAAACAAAGATTTTTATCACACCACAATTTGGCTCAAGTAGTGCATGATCTCTCTCCTCAGTCCAAATAACATTTCTAATTACTGCTATTTAAAAATATCATTTTCTATACTGAAAATGAGCATAAAATTTGGGAAAGTGCCTCACAAGCTTTGCTTTCTTCTGAGGTTTACAGGCTCAGCTTAGACTGAAGTATTTTTCTGTTCCAAGGTCAAATCCCAGCTCTGCCACAGATCCCTGATGAAAATGAGCCAGTTCTTGTGGTCTCTCGTTTTTTCCAGACTTTGCTAATAAAGTCTAATTATTTGTCAATGGAAAGGCAAATTTTTCAAAGCACCAGAGTTTGTATTTGCCATTTGCCAGAGCTGTTTCTCACTAATTTGTGTAACACAAATTCTCCCTAAAATGAGCACCAATGGAGTACATTGAAAATCTGCAGTACATTGAAAATGACAGTACCAGAAAACACAAAGTTTCTTCACTTGGAATTTATCTCTAGCCTTTCAAAGTTCACTAGATTTCCCAAATTTTCCCATTTCCTATCAGACTGGAGCTAAAATTTTCAAATTGTACTCCTAGAGATTTAATGAGAAAGGAAGGCAGGGGTTTAAAACCACATGTAATTAGCAATGCAGAGTGGAGGAGATTCACTGAGAGATGGGAAGCATCCCAGTGCCAGCAGGTTTGTGCTCCAGGCTCTCCTCTGTGTTCTGGAAAAAGAAGAGGCAGGTCCCTGGTAAGAACAGAATCCCCTCATTCTCATGGTATTAGTCAAAACCATTAATTAATCTGAGTTTTTTGTGGGGTTTGTATTTAATTTGATCACTGTTAAACTGGTGCATCTGTTCTTAAAAACAACGAGGTGAGGTTTTCCATTATAAAAAAAAAATTGAAAAAGCCACAACTAACTCTCATTTATTTTAATAACCTCATAATTCCTTGCAAGAGCTCAGTGTCCTGCTTTCACAGCATCCCAGGATGGCATGCAGATATTCCTGCCACATGTCCAATGCCCTGAAACTTCCTGCACCTCTTTTTGTGGCAAAACTCGATTCTTCCTTCTTTTCCTTTCCCCTCCCTGCACATTTCACTTCTAAGAGTGAAGATCCTGATCCTTAATAAATACAGACAATTCCCCCTTTCTTAACAGTAACAATGTCACCCTTGATTAGGCACCTCTTGTAAACCATTTGTTTTCTCATCCTAAAAACAGAGCTGTCAAATTTTAGGACAAAATTCTCATTAGATCTTTTGGTACTGCAATTGTAGGATTCCAGCAAACTTTACCTAGAAAAAGATGCACATTTTTAGGTAAAGGTGGAGGTGTAGCACCAATCCTTCAGAGGAGTGGGGCACAAGCATTGTGACACCTCAGGTGCAAATAAATCATGGAATTACAGAATGGTTTAAGTTGGAAAAGCCCTCTAAGATCAAGTCCAACCATTAACCCCACACTGCCAAGGCCACCATCAAACCATGTCCCCAAGTGCCACATCCACACGTTTTTGAACACTTCCAGGGGTAGTGATGCTCCCTCTGAGCCTCCTTTCCTCCAGTTAATTTTGCATTTTTGATATGAAGGGATGTGTGGACAGCAGAGCACCCGAGCAGGTCGAGGGCTCTCAGTGAAGAGAACCCCACAAAAATCACATTCAATTCCTTGGGTATTTTAGTTGTAGTAAATAAATAATGATTATGGTTCATTTTGGGCTTTGTTGGAGAAGTGGTGATGTCTTCTTATCTGCTCTCTGCTCATCCCCATCCTCATTTTATTCAATTTTTGTCCCAGTTTCAGAAGCAATGCAGAATAAGAAGTGCTCACAAAGGAGGGGAAAGGAGAGGGGAAATAAATTTAGAGCACCCAAGGAAAAAAGGAGTTTGGCAAGCCCGAAACTCAGATGGATCTCACCTCACTGAGTGGGATTCCAGAGCTTGCTTGTGCCCATCTCCACCCCCTTAGGTCAATTAATCTCAGAGCTGAAGCTTAAAAACTGTCAGTGCTAATTTAACTTGTGCATGGTGGACAATTTGCTTTTGGAGAAACTGTGAGACATAAATCCCTATTACAAATGTCATCTTCCACGTATCCAAAGAGAGCTGGTGCACTCTGGTCGAGGGGTGCAAAGTAAAGCACTTTAATAATGAAAGGTGCCAAAAATATTTTCATCCATCTCCCTCACGTGGCACTGATGAACGTCATGAAATAATGAAAATTTTCTGGATCTGTGAATGCCATAAAAAATTAATGTCAAATGACATCAGGACAGTTTAAGGTTTTTAAATGCCAGAAGATATTTTATCCTTTATTGACCATGAGATGGGATATTAGCCATTTGAAGAGCTTATTCTCCATGAGGCAGGAAAATCACATTAACTCTTTGTTTCCTGGTATTTTCGCTCTTTTCCTGCTCTAAATACCTTAAAAAGTTTTTCTCTGGCTCACAACTTGATAAAAGCCTTCATGTTCCTGCAAAGGGATCAAAGAGTACGACACAACCATTACCCAGATGATTGAGTTCCTTGAAAGCTGCTCAATGACACTCACTGCTGCAAAGGAAGAGCTGCTTCACAACCTTTAATGGCATTAATTTTGCAAGAAATCCTATAAAACAGGAAGCAATCTTCCTCTCCCTTTATTTAAGACCATCACTGCTTTCCCTGTTTGTTAATGGTTGTGCAAAGTGTCTGACTCAGAGAGAATCAAAGCTGCTGCTTCTGCTTTGGGAATGGCATCACTTGCTCTGTTGGTGCTCTGCTGAGGAGAAATTAAATCCTGTTGGAAGACATTCCCATCTGCCAGAGCCACTCTGCAATCTTTTCATTGCACATGGAGAGAAACATGTGTTTTATGGATGGTGTTAAACCCATCCTGGAGGGGGAATCTAAAAACCAGCCCATCCCTACCTCTAGGGAGCCTGTTCCTCACCTCTGACTGTAAAACCAGCTCAGGGATAGGCTGACTTGTGGAAAACTCTAAAATCAGTTGATACAAATGCCATTCCACGTTGGAAATCTGGCTTCCTTAATACAGGTATCCTAAATCCTTGTGGATTTTACATCTTCCAACATTTATCAAATGGTACCAGATATTTATGGTTAAAAACCTGAACAGAGCCCTCAGTGTCAGTGCTGTGGGTGCCTCTCTGTGAGCTCAGAGCATTCCTACTCCAGTCAACACAAAATTCATCAATAGAGCCCATGGCACCTCCAGAGCTGTTCAGGTACTGCCACGGTGTCTTTGGTCAGTGCTGACCAGATTTCTGTGGACATTAAAGGGGACTGGACACCAGTCTTGTACAGACACCCCTGCTTTACAAACAGCAGAAATTAAGAGTCCTGACTCTGCTCTCTCCAAAGAAACTCACCCTGTGCTTTTCCAAACAGGTATTTTCATGCTGTTGTTCATGTGATCACTGTAAATGGCTAATTCAAGTTCAGATGAATCACTGCTCAAACCATACAATCATAAAGTCATAGAATGGCTCGGGTTGGAAGGGAACTTAAAGATCATTTTGTTCAAACCACCTGCCATGGGCAGAGACACCTTCCACTATCCCAGATGCTCCAAGCCCTGTCCAGCCTGGCCTTGGACACTTCCAGGGATCCAGGGACAGCCACAGCTTCTCTGGGACACCTCTGCCAGGGCATTCTCATCCTCACAGGGAAGATTTTACCACCCTCAGAGGGAAACATTTCTTCCTAAAATCTAATGAAACCCAGCCCTCTGTCAATTTAAAGCCATTCTCTCTGGTTCTACACCCTTGTACAACCCAGGGAGCTTTCCAGTGACTGGAATCCCTGCATGACAGTCAGCTGCAGAGAACCAGACTAAACCAGAGGAAACTCCCCCAAAGCAATGTGAAATTGCCCCAGAAGGCTGCTGACCTTGCCAGCTGCAAGGCTGGGTGACATTTGCTGAGGTCGTGGCTCCCAGAAGAGCACACGTGGCCACAGGGGTGTGCAGGGAAGGGCCATGTCTGGGGCTCTTTCTTGGCTGGGCACACTGAGATGAGGGCACAGAGCCCAGGTAAAGCTCTGAGTGCTCTGAGGGGAGTCTGGGCTTCTCCCAGAACAGGAATCATTCCCTAGGTAGAATCACAAAGTCACACGGGTTGGAAAAAGCCCTCCAAGGTCACTGATTCCAAGCTTGTCCCCAGCCCAGAGCCCTGAGTGCCACCTCCAGTGCCTTCCTCGGACACCTCCAGGGATGGGCACTCCAAACCACCCTGGGAAGCCCCTTCCAATGCCTGACCACCCTTTCCACAAAAAAAAATTATCCTGATGTCCAACCTGAACCTCCCCTGGCACAGCTTGAGGCCATTTCCTCTTGTCCTGTCCCTCGTACCCTGGGAGCAGAGCCCAGCCCTCACCAACCTAAGGTTTTTTGAGATACTCTGAAGTACCTGACAGATCCAATGACACAGAAACTGGGAGATCTGCACCTTTTTGCAGGGGAGCCTGGAGATCAGGATGTCCTGGGACATCTCAGAGAACAGCAGTTGCACCTGAGCAGGCAAATTTATTGAGTCTCATAAGCCCATCCTGCCACAAAATTAAAGATATCCCACTGTCCTTAGCTAAAGTCTAACATAGTCCCAATGATTTAAAAGGAAAAAAAAAATATATATACATATAAAATGGAATCTTAGAGTCATTGAGGTTTAAAAAGACCTCTAAGAACATCAAGTCCAACACTGCCAGGTCCACACTAAACCATGTTCCTATTTTGAACACTTCCCTGGACAATGAATCCACCACTTCCCTGGACAGCTTGTTCCAGTGCTTGACCTCTATATATAATCAAATATACACAATATTTTCCTCATTGCTCTAGTGGTATGATGTACTAGAGAGCTATTTCTTTGTGTTTTACTAACTTTGCTGGTATATAAAACCCAGTGAGTGAATGCTGAGCTCAGGGGAGGGCACAGAGCAGGAACAGCAGGAAATTATTTCAAATGCACAGGGGTCTTGTCCTGCAAGATGTGAACTCACAGCAGCTTCTGTCTTCTCTCCCTGGGTGTTGGGACAGGAGTGATGAGCTCCCAGGGAATTTTGGAAACGAGGAAGTCAGTGCTAGGATCAGGGATTTTGAATTTCCCCTCTGTGCCTGCAAAGAATTTTGGTGTGGCCTTGGGCAAGGGATGTAACCAGCACATGCTGGTTAATGAGTGCAGTGCCCAGGCCTGTTGAACAGCGATGATATTGTTCATTCCTAATGTTTATTCCTACCCCCATTTTTAATCTATCCTGTGTGTTTGCCTACAAGGCTTTAAAAATGGAGCTCAATGCAGGATCTCCAGTGCAAAAGAACTTAATTCTCTGTTAAGGCCTGCAGGGCTTCTATAATAAAAATAGTGAGAAATAACTAAAAACTACCAGGAGATACAATCATCCCTGTTGCTGCATGGCCCCTTGAGACCTGAGTTTTAAACTAAAGCTTCTCAGAACACCCTGAACAGTGAGTTAAGCCACCTCCTCCATTAATCTCCCCTGCCCATTATTTGGCAGGTTAATTCCTTGGCCTGTGGCCATATTTGTCATTCCAGCAGGAAAAAACCCAAAAACTTTATTATGTACAGTTCCAGCTTGTTTATTTTCTGTCAGAGACTTAATTAATGATTGTACTAAACTGCTCATTTTGCACAACAAACACAACAGTTCTGTGGGTTGATTCAATTTTCACTGCACAACATCCATATTATTGGATTTCACCAGGAGCCATTTTTGCATCCACAGCAGTGGTGCTGCAAGTGCAGGGAGGATGTTTTGATGTTTGGGAATTCATGTATGGCTTGGACACCTCCTTTACCTTGGGCTAAGAGCTGGTTTCTCCCTCCTTATTGAGATGTTCCCCCTGTGGATGATGAGAAACCCCACTGGCAGTGAAGCTGTGGAGATAGTTTGGGATTTGCTGTCTTAGGTTACAATACAGGATGTGACCAAAAGTTTGTATCCTGTCACCATCTGTTGAAATCAGCTGGGGCAGTGATCCTGATCTCTCTGGGAGATATTCTCTGCTAATGGGCCAGCTGTTAAAAAACCATGTGGGGCAGTGTTCTTTATCTCTTCCACAACCCATCCTTCCTCCAGGAGATCTCTCCTGTTCATGGCCATGCAGTCCCAGTGCATGACTGATAAAATTCCATCATCCCACTGGGAGATGCTCCACCCAGGGGGAGGAGCCAAACATTTCCTACCCAGATAAAAATCTCAAGTTTGGAACATCAGAGCAGCCTTTTTCCACTGGATCCCAGAGGAAAAACCAAACCCTTCCACATCATCCCTGGAGCTTTGGAGGAAAACTGCACCTTGTGCAGGAGCCCTGCTCCAGCAGAACCACATCTGTCACTGCAGGAGGATGCAGCCACCATGGAATGGGACTGCACCAACCCTGACTGACTGACGGGGGCACCTTGGATTCTCACTCTGCCACTGCTTTGCCTTTGTTCTCTGTAATTCTGTATTTCTGTTTTAATTTTCCTAGTAAAGAACTGTTATTCCCATTCCCATATCTTTGCCTGAGAGTCCCTTAATTTCAAAATTATAATAATTTGGAGGGAGGGGGTTGACATTCTCCATTTTAAAAAGAATCTCCTGCCTTTCTTGGCAGACACCTGTCTTTCAAACCAAGACATTTGCTTACCCAGGAAGGAGGTCAGGAACCTGAAGTACTTGGGGCATGGTCGTACCACGACTTCTCCCACCTCTGCCTCAGGCCAGCACGTGATGTTGTCCCACTGCCTCCTGCAGCCTGGGGGAGAGAAAAAAGCAGATGATGGAGCACTCAGGAGTGCTGGATGCAGCAGAGCAGCTCTGCAAAGCCGTGTAGAGCCCCTCAGCCCGGCACAGGCACCTTTTGGAATGAAACCCCATGGAAATATTTCCTTTAAATACACAGATTTTACCTCCCCCAGTCCCTAAAAGTCAGCAGCGTAATTTTCCAGAAATCAGTACTGAAAGAACAGCAGATAAGGGCAAAAAAACCCCCCAAATCAGGCTGGATACAAGAATAGCGTCTTCTCCTAGATTAAAAAGGCAGAAATTACTAATTAAATCTATCTCTTCCTTGCCTTTGTCATTTCCTGTTGTATTAAAACACCTGATCTGAACCTGTGAGACATTCCTCCTCAGTTTCCTCCAAATGCCATCACCTTTTTCTTCCCATTGCAACAATTGTGCAGCTCTCACAGCAGGAAGGGGACGCAGAGGACAAACAAGGGATTAAGGACCAAAATCCCTTCACCAGAAGCAGTTTCCTTCTTAAAAAGGGAAAAGGCACAAAACACTGCTGGAGACTGAGCAGGGACAGTGCTGGGGCCAGGAGATGATCCCTGGTGGCACATCCTGAGCTATCCAAGCCAGGAATGAAGGAATAACCAACACAGGGAGGAAACACAGAGTTTTGTCAAAGTGAGGCCTTGCTGAAGATTTTTCTGAGTAGAATAAAAGCTTTAGTGGAAAGGAAAAAAATGCCATGTCCTTTCCACAGATGTATAATGTTCTGATTTTGCCCTTTTATTTCTCAAAAGGCATTAATAATACCCCAAGTATGCTGCATTGTTGGATCACATAACATTAACGCTGAATCCAAGAGGAGTTGGCAGATCTGAATTAAAAATAAAATAAAAACCCAGGAATCAATCACATTTTTACATTTATATGTTTCCATTTCAGAGTTCTTAGCAGAATTTTGACATTTTCCCCCTTGCTTTATATTTCCAACAGCCAGGCACTTCAGTTGCTGCCTGGGTGAGATGGATGGTGTAGTAGTTTAGATTTGCTAATTTTAATATACTTATTTTCTGCTGTAAAATAGGATTAGGAGCAAAAGCAAGGCAGGCTTAAAAATACAAAGGGTTAAAGAAAAACTTGATTAACAACATCAAGAAATAATAAATTCAGAATAAAACCTTTAGACCTCTCTCCTCCCCTCTCCTACACCTTGTTGTCTTTCTTAACAACATCATACAGAAACACTTCAGTTACCAACTTAAATAATCTTTTTCAGGTCACTCTATGGAGAGGAGTCTCCCCTTGTCAAGCCATAGGGACTTTTCCACAAGAAGAAAAAACAATTCTCTCGTGGCTTCACTTTCCCATCACAGCCCATGGTTGTCAGCAGAGCTCCCTTTTGCAGCACCTGTGCTCTGAGTTATTTGTCACACCCCATTAGATGGAAACACTCCCCCAAATGTGACTCACACACACTGTTGAGATCAACAGCCCCACAGCAGAGACACTGGGATGTGAAGAACAAAGTGGTGAGAAAATGTTGAGGAAATATTCTCACGTGCCAGCAAAGGCAACTATGAAAACCCCTGTCAGGTAATTACACCCTGCTCTGAAATTCCTCCTTTAAATCATCTTTTACTCCTTGAGCTGAGGAAAGGGCTGCTCTCGTCCCCAGCCTGTGCAGATGTGTCTCAGATCAATAGGGAGCACTCAGAAATGCTTTGAAGCTGAAAAAGAGCCCTTAGCTCGCTTTCAAAGTGATTTTACAGGCTTTTTTTTCTCCTCTCTTCTTTCAGGAACAAACTGAACTTTTCAAATCAAGTCCTGAGCTGAGTTTATCTGAGCCTGAAAAATGGAATAACTGATGGAATCTCCTTCACCCAGCTCTCCTGCAGAGTTCATTAAAAGTCAGGTTTCAGGTCCTTGTATCAAGTGCCCAACTCAGCTCTCACAGCCTCACACTTATCTCCCACCAAACAGCCAGCAGCTCCAAAAGTGTCAGGATATTAAAGATTCCAAGGAAAATGATTCCATGACGGAATATTTCACGTTCTACAATCTTTTCCTCCACCAGCTGCAATAAATTAGAGTGCAGCCATTACCTCATGATAGGTTATAATACAAAATAAAAGCTATCTGATAGCATCAGATGGCTTTTTAAATGCCCTGAATTATGCACTCTGAGAGTTTAGGTGATCTGTATCTTTTTCCCCGTTGACATTTTTCAGCACCACCTGTGATGTGTGAAGAAAGCTTTTAGGTGCTCATTTTTGTATCAAAAGCTTTTTTTTTTTTCCTGATTAAAAGAAAGTGATACTGGCCTTGCAAGGTACATAAAGTGTATTTTTACAAATCATTGCTTCTGTAAACACACCTTGTACCTGCCCATTAGCTCTTACAACACCCATCTTCCTCATTGCTGCCCCAGGCATGCTGAAAATATTTCTGCAATAAATAAAGAAGGCAATGGAAGCCAGAATTCCGGCTGGCAGTGCCTGTCACCACAGGATCAGTGAATCTTGGAATGGTTTGGGTTGGAATGGGCCCTAAGGAACATCTCATTCCAACCCCCTGCCACTGTCCCAGGCTGCTCCAAGCCCCATCCAACCTGGCCTTGGGCACTTCCAGGGATCCAGGGGCAGCCACAGCTTCTAACAGGTCTGTGTCTTTCTTGTACTAATTATCTGCAGTTCAGGAAAATCAATAATATTTAGTGAGCAGAAAAGAATAACTGAGTTTAAAGAGCTGGAACAATTGGAGATTGATACCTGCAAAATGCTTTGCATGCACAGTCCCATGCTGTAATCACCCCATCACAACTTCAAGTAAAACTTTGTGACTTTTCACCTGACCCAGCACACAGCCAACCTTTATGAAAGAGCCTTCCAGAAACTGCTTTTCTTCCTCCCAAACTGATAGACTTTATCCTAGAAAACTGCTGGGATTGAGAGGTTGGCAGGCAAAAAAACTGTATGGGGGCAGAAGCAGCTGCACTGTGCCTTAAAAGAAAGAAATCCCTCTCTTCCTTCTGGCATCACTTGGTTTAGCAAAGATGACAAGTTTGGCCTGATCATGTCATGTTTGGGGGTTGATAAGTGCTTCTTCATTAATTAATTATAAATGTTGTCTTCTACCTTGCACTCAGCGCCTGCAGGGAGGATGCAAAGGTATTTATCACTCCTCACCCAGTGCAGCAAGTGCCAATGAATTAAAACACTCCTACTCTCCACTTCCATCAAAACAACTGCTCTGCTCACGTGCCTGTCCCAAAAATCCACGGGATACACATTGCCAAGGGCAGTGGGAAGGATCCCAGGTAAATCTGGAGGAGCTGTATAAAAATAAGTGTGTGGCTTTTCCAAGCCAGCAGCACTCACCACCTCTCTGGGTGTCTCAGGTGCAGTCTTTAAACTCTTGTCATTATAAAAATAAGCTTTAAAAAACGAAAAAGATATTTTTTGAAAAGAAGAGGGTTTTTTGTTTTTTTCCAATTTTAATTATTTTAACTTGTGTGACTTCCACACCCTCAGCTTTGCCCATCCTTGCCATCCCATGAAGTGCTCTCTGGAGCTGAATATTTTCTTCTGCAGGGCTGCAGGGAAAAATCCTTCATGCTTCTAAAGAAGCTGGAGCTCAGATCCTTCTATCCAGCAGCTCAGCCTTCCTCTCTGCAAGCCAAATACCCCCCATGCAAGCCAAGGGCTGCACCAGCCTCACTCAGAGCCCTCCTCTGAGAGGTTCTGGCTCAGAAGTAGCTGAGAACCAGTGACACCAGTGAGCTCCTAAATACCTGCTGATGTTTTGGGGTAAATGGATGCCAACTGCTTCCCACAAAGGAAGGGACCTTAAATTCATCTCAGTCATCATTCCAATCCCCTGCCATGGGCAGGGACATCTTCCACCATCCCAGGGTGATCCAAGCCCCATCCAACCTGGGCTGGAACACTCCAGGGATCCAGGGGCAGCAGCAGCTTCTCTGGGCACCCTGTGCCAGGGCATCACTGCCTTTATAGGGAACAATTTCTTCCTAATATCTCATCTAAACCCACCCTCCTTTAGTTTGAAGCCATTCCCCCTTGTCCCCTCACTCCAGTTCCAGTACTGTCTCCATGGACAAAACCATCTTCCTATGCCCAAAACTGCAATTTCTGAATCAGTCCAATTCATCAGTAGTGACTGGTGGAAATGCAGATTTATCCCAGCCCAATATTTCAGCATTAGGAGGCCCCAGCACACCTTTCCCACTGTCTCTGCTAAAAGTGGATCAGAGCTCTCATTTCCTCTCCTTTAAAAGGTTAATAAACACAAAGCAGGTCAATTCTCACGAGGCACACTGGTTTGCAGAACTGGCAGGCTGGAGCATAAAAACCCATTTATTGGAGTCATATCTACACTTACAGCAAATCGTGGTCAAAGCTTATCTAGGAAGCAGCAGAGAAGAACTCTCCCTCATGAATAAAGATGAATTCCAGAGCTTTGGCACAGCCCTGAGATAGGACTTGGTTTGGCTGAGGAAGGAAATGAACAGCAGCAGGCTGGTACCAGGCACTCTCTGAAGCCAGGTGAACTCCCAGTTCAGGGAGAAACCCTTCCAGCACATCAGTCTTTCACTGAATCATGGAATCATTAAGGTTGGAAAAGACCTCCAAGGGCAGCAAAACCAACCTTTGACCAAACTCCACCCCCCAAATTCTCACAGCAAATTCTCTCTAATGTATGGGAGGTCACTCCAGGTCTCTTCTGAAAGACATCCCCACCCCTTTTTCTCCTGGAATCCCTGTTCAGATGCAGAGATGCCCATTTGACAGCTGGGCTATTTCAGGAGTACCCCAGTACCCACAGGGATAACAGCAAGGCAAAGGCACAGCTCAGTTAAGCCAGGCTGAGCTATCCCAGGGCACCATCACAGCCTGGTGTGCTGCAATAAAATCTCATTTTCACTCCAATTTCATACCAGCAGGCAGTTTCCAAGCTCTCAGGACTGTAAACAGCCGTGGGATGACATTTATTGTCCCCCTG